CCCCCCCCACCCCCACCACACACACACACACACTAACAAATAGAGAAAAGGAGAAGAAAATCATTTGTATGCCTATGGTTCCACTTCCAACAGTTTATAGGTAGTACCAACATCAGTAGTCAAATTCAAATGGTTAATCAAAGAATCTTTTGCACTTCAAAGATTAGAAATTACCTAGACACAAGCAGTGCATTTCTACGCTAAATCTCCTGGAAATTTTCCTTTAATTAAGGACCTGATCACCTAATGAGGTCAGATACAAAAGTTACCATACAAACAAGAGACTATTGCTTTGGCTTGTAAATTAATGTAACTTCTGGATCCATCCAGTATTCAGTGTACATTTCCAACATTGTTCAACAACAATCTGTGTTTTTTAAATTCGATTCAAATTTTTTAAAAGGTGCCAATTTGTTGAAATTATGTGGTGATAATTGATTCAATGTTTAAACATTGATGTCGATGTTGACTTGGGTGTATAAATGAATTGGATGAGTTGGGATTGATAATATAGAGAAAGGCGAAGAATTTCAAAGTTTAAAGGTTAAATAGGCTACAGGTCGGTCGCAGTGGAACGTGCACATCTCTTTGAGACTAAAGGAAGTCACCATGGCGTGGACAATGTGTGGGCATGATTTTGGAGAGGAAGTTCCAGCACGCAGGGGCAGCACATTTCACCCAATCGTGTGATAAACTGTGAAGCCAGCTGGTCAGCTGAGCAAATCATGCAGTAGCACATAGCAGCAATAAGCAGAGTTTTGGCGGAAGAGTTCAAGAAAATAGTCCAGCTCAGTTTGGCTCTACCATGAGACTAACACATCAAGGTTGCCTAGCTGTCAACCAGGTCACGCGTTAGCCTTGCTGCGGCATGAACTAGGGTTTGGGCCAAGGAAGTTTGCTGCCATGGGAGCTTAGTAGGGGATCATCGCACAACTAAGGCGCAAGGCCTGTCTGGTAGGGCAAGTGGCCAAGGCCCAAGGGTATAATCCAGGGCGCAACTTACAAACGCCAGGACATGAATGCCCTGAGCCCTCACCAACTATAACAGCTGAGATTCGGAGAAACCAATCAGATGGAACTTGTTTGTGATAATCAAGTTGTGCTCCATATTGCTTCAAATCAGTTATCAAATGCGCGCTTAAGCCCTGAAGCGAGGCTCAAAACATGTCGAGCACTTCGCCACGTTTAGTGGGCGCTTCAGTGTTTTCATCAAGGCTCTAAGGCATACGTTTCCTTGCCAATGAGCATAATCCTGAAGAGGCGACACCAAACAATTGATATTTTTCACTTTATCATAAATTTTCTTCAATTCCTTTCTCCATATATTTGGTATTCATGCTTATAGATATTAGTCTTGGACTACACATACATATTCGTAGTTTTTCTCTATTTACGCCTTTCTTATTAAAGCCCATGCTTTATCGGCGCTTTGCGCTTAAAGCCCCAACACACCTTAGAGTTCTTTTGCGCTTTTCGCCTTTGATAACACTGCTTCAAATCCAGTATTTCATGAGATGTCCAAACACGTAGAGATTTAGTGTCACTTTATTACTGCATTGCATGCATATTTACCAAGTCTTTCCCAGGTCCTCGAGTTAATTATATGTAACAAGCTTAGTATATACGATATGTATGAACCGGCTTTAAACGGAGTGTCAGATGTTAGACAGGTAGTTTATACTCCTTACATTCCAATTTATGTAACACTGTTTTCTTATTAATCTGTTACAAAAAGAATGACACATTTTTATATTTGAGAATAATTAACTTTAAACTCACGTGTCTATATTTGGAATAATTAACTACACTTCCCATAGTACCTTTAATGAGAAGGTATTATAGCCACACAGATGTTATGGTATGTTTTACGCCACCAGTTTCAAAAGTTTTATAGCAACACAAATGTTATGGCATGTTTAAAACTACAGGTTTCAAAAGTGTTCCTTCCTTTCTTTAACTCCCCACCAATTCGAACTATGTCCAGTGTTATCAAAGGCGAAAAGCGCAAAAAAGCTCTAAGGTCCGTTGGGGCTTTAAGCGCAAAGCGCAAATAAAGCGTGGGCTTTAATGAAAAAAGGCGCAATGGGAAAAAAAGTAAAATTATGCATGTAGTCCATTATAAGCATGCATAAAAAATATATGGACAAAGAAATTGAAAAAAAAAATCACTATAAAGTGAAATATCAATTGTTTAAGGTCGCCTTTTCAGGATTACACTCATTGGCAAGGAAAAGTATGCCTTAGAGCTTTGATGCGACACTAAAGCTCCCAGAAAGCGAGGCGAAGCACTCAACGTGTTTTGAGCCTCGCTTCAGGGCTTAAACGCGCTTTAAGCGCGCCTTTGACAACACTGACTATGTCACATAAATTGAAACATGTGGAGTATTGCATATCATCCCGCATTAGACAGGTGTAAAGATATAAACATTTTGAATGAAGAGGATGAGCTCTTACGTCTTCAACTTATAATTGCATAACATGGTTTCTCCAAAACTTGTACCAACAGTTAGAGGTCATCTATGAGACTTGAATATGTTTATACTCACTCCCTACTTCATGTTGGCAGATACAGACGCCGACGGGGACCTAGCTGCTGACAGCCTTCCTCTTCTACAATTCTGGTGGTAAGCCCCACACATATCCTGTGGTGGCTTCTTTTAGAGTGTTAATTCTTTTGCATAGCCTAGCAGTTTCCCGAATACATGGCGTATTCTTTTGGCAAGTTAGAAGCTTATTGTCAGTAGCTAGTGGGTCACAATCATTCTTTTTGGGTATATATGAATTGACATCCCTCATCGGAACTTATATAAGGTGTGTTGATGCCTACAGCCTTTATGTGATTTCATGTTGTATGATACATTATTACAAACTGTTGTTCGATGGTACAAGGCTAGCCGGATCCCCATATGTGTCTAATTTCAGATTAATAAACGGATTGATAGGTCGGCTGAGTGAGGGTTATGTTGTGGGGTGCCAGTCACGTGACCCCTAATTTTCAGGTGTAACATAGTCATGCTACCCAATTAGAAAATATGTTTATCACAAACTACATATTCTTGGGCTAAAAGGACAGCCTAAAAGTATGTCAATATTTACACTTGGGCCTTTTGTTTAATTTTTTATCAATTTTCACAAGATCCCAATTATTCAATCTGGACTTCCTGAGATCACAAGTAAGTTCCAAACACAATTCTTGCTAGGAGCCATATATTATTACGTACTTCAAGTTTACATACTCTTTACTTAGTATAACTATTTTCATTTTCCTTATTCAGGAAGGCTGTCACTTGTTACCTATTCCCTAAAGAAAACGGACACATGCAGCAACAGCAGCGTGTCAGTGTGCTGTGCAAGTTACTGGATGACGCTAGTAGTGCGCTTCACCTTATCAGAACTGTTGCCGATGTAAGAGAGGTGATAATTTTAAAAGATATACAAAGCCGTCCGCTATTTCTTTGGAGATACATAAGTTGTATTTTACCTGCATTTCTTGCGCCAGAGTCCTAGCACCAAGTTTCTTTGAAATCTCAGCCTTTAAAACAAATCTCAATGCAGCACACGCATTGATATTTGGAAAACTCTACAGAGCCAAAATGTAGCACATCAATAAAACAAAGAGAAGGAAAGAAAGTACAAAAAAAAGTTCAGCATAATCATGACTTTCACCTTTGTGATTAGTTGATCATTCAAATTGTTAGAGATGATTATGCTTGAGTTTGGACCAATAGTCAACTTCAAACTGGAGTTTTCAAACAAATAAAAACCTAAACATATCATGACATAGAGGTAGAACAAAACTTTCTTCCAAAACCTTAATCATGAAAATAAGCATAGGAAAATTGTCAGAGAAACCTTTGAACCAGCAAACCAAGATAGTTGAGGATGACAAATGGCCTCCTCACATTCTGAATGACACACATCTAAAAAATAATGAATGGTGTATATTAGTGACAGAATAAAGTAGCTTGAAGAATATAACACAGGACAGAAGAGACCTGCATATCTTGACGTAGGAATCTACAACACGATCTCCTCATTAGATGTTCTTTTACGGAAATGATGGTAGCGGCACAACTTGGTTCTCCCTCAAGTTTAAAGGAAGAACGCAAGGATCTAGCCAATTTTGCAACTTTTCTTTCTGAAACTTCCAAACCCTCCTTGATAGTGGCCACTTTATTATGACGTTCCTGCATTACATAAACCATCTGTATCATACTAGATTAAATTGGTCATAGCAAGTATGATGAGTTGGACAAGCTCAGAGGAGTGTTGTCAAAGGCGCGCGTAAGCCCTGAAGCGAGGCTCAAAACATGTTGAGCGCTTCGCCTCGCTTAGCGCGCGCTTCAGTGTCGTCATCAAGGCTCTAAGGCATACTTTTCTTTTTTGCCAATGAGCGCAATCTGAAGAGGCGATATGAAACAATTGCTATTTCACTTTATTGTGAAATTTTTTCAATTTCTTTGTCAATATATTTGTTATTCATGCTTATAATTATTAGTCTTGGACTACACATACATATTTGTATTTTTCCTCCCTTGTGCTTTTTTTCATTAAAGCACACGCTTTATTTTCGCTTTGCGCTTAAAGCCACGGTGGACCTTAGAGATTTTTTACGCTTTTCGCCTTTTGATAACACTGGCTCAGAGGAATATAACATTATATAGGTCAGCAAACAAAGTATACAAAGTTGTTTGCTAAAATCAAGCAAGTTATCTTTAATTTCTCTAACTTTTTAGTCCTCTAAAAAGAAGGCAAAAACATCTATTAGATGATTTCTGCATCATGAGCAAATTTAAAAAAAAGAAGAAAAAAAACATGTTTACATTGTTTCTCACAGACACATGCACGCGCATAAAGGATGATAAGTGTAAGACAATTATTCTAAATGTCTTCGGTATCGAAAGACAGAACCCGTGAGAAAACTTCATGAACATTAAAAGATATGTAGTGCACTAACTCGTTATTCTAGAAGCATGGTCACAAATAAAACAAGCTGTTGCATCTTGCCATCTTTCAGGTGTGCCACAATTAATTCTGATGAATAGACCCGAACTCCAGTCTGTACGAGATAAAGTAGTAGATTGTGAATTTATGATGATTAGGGACCTGATGCCCTTACAACAGACAGAAGACAAACTTCAACCGGGAGGAAAAGGGAACTAAAACGCATAGTTGAGCCCTCATAACTGTAGAGTAACCACTTAAAACTGACTGGGACAACTAAGAGCATTTTTCCTGTTAATAAAATGGATGTTGAGCTACAACTACTGAAAAGATAATGACTGACATACAAAGTCTCAGACGAATGGCAACTGATCAATAAGTCAAGAACTCCAGTTTCAAGTTCTTAGTCATGGACTCATGGACAAAGTCAGAAGTAATGTTTACAGTTAATGACATCCATACAATTAACAGTTAATGATAACAACAATAAATATAACCTAGCAACACCACCAAGTTTTCAGCTGAACAAGGAGCACCAAGAATGGAGAACTAAAAACCGGTCCTGGCAAATAAAATGACAGATTGAAAAGGGAAGTTTTCCTATTAGCGTTATTCCTTTATTGAATATTTCCTTCCTCTTTTAGACGGCAAATACAATCAGCAAATGAAAGTGTTATAGGAAATGATCGGCATGCCAAACAGCAGTATGTAATCAATATTTGATTTCTATAGAGTACCTCCTGCAGAGCCTTTTCACAGGCTAATGAGCTCTCACTAGAAATAGCATCACCCTGGGTGACTCCTGAGACAGTTATATGAAGCGAATGATTGATCTTTGACATTTGGGACTTCTGAATTCCAGAGTTCAACAGTTGACATTTTTCCTATATGCATGATGACTTATGTCAAAAGAATGACAAGGTGATCATAGAAAGAGAGATTGAGCATAAATAGTACCAGCAGTTTCTTCTTCTTCACACACCTCCAGTGATACTTTGCTTTCTCATGTACAAGCTGACATAACAACTTTATTGCTTCTAAAGTTCTGCATTATCATCACATATAAGAGAGATAACAAACTTTTCAAGCACACAGAAATATGATGTCAAAATGAAAATAACATCAATTATGTTGGCAAATAAAGGTGGAACGAGAATATACCTTTTCTCCTGAAAACTGGTAACTAACGTTTTCTGAAAAGATGAGGAAATCAAGGTCAATAGCTACTTAAAACTTCCCGGGCATAAGAAGAATGCATTTAACATTTGATCTATTATTATTTTGCTTTTCATTAGTTCTGAAACATAGCCAACGTATCCCCAAGTAAAGAAACCTGAGTGAGAATTTGACGGTGCAAAATGTCGTATGTTTTTGCCTTCTGCATTCGGGTGACAATGTCTTCCACCATTTCAATCTACAACAATTTATTAAAAAACAATAAAGATGATAAGACAACATGAATCAAAATCTGGTTATTTTACATCTAGAAGTAAATTCTACCAACAGAAACATTTCTAAAGCATATCTTAAAGTGAAAAAACTATACTGCTGGCATAGTAAGCATGGCAAGCCTTTCTTTAGGCAAAGATATCCACTCATCTGCATCCTCCAAACATTTGGATTTAATCTGCAACATAAAGAAGAAGCCTTTTCATTTCCCGATCCTTTTTCTTCAAAAAGAGTGCCATCCAGGCAAGTAACATGGAAAGACCATAAAGCCATCTTACATCTTTCCATTGTCTGAGTTCAAGATGAGCTCTGAGCATTTCTTTTCTGCTATCATCAGGACGTCCCGAGATTCCTGGACTATTACCAACCCCTCTCTGGAGTTTCGAGCTACTTTGAGACATGATAATTTGATTTGTGTGTTCCATATCTCCATATGTCAACTCTTCACTGCATCTTTTATGGGCAGAAGAGTTTCTAGGTCTGCCAATTGATTGGTTGCATGTGGGAGATTGCACAGCTTCACCTACAGAGGAACATGTAGTGTTGGATTGTGCCAGCACGTGAAACCCCTTTGCTGGTGGACTTCGTGAAGACCATTGTACAGGAGTCTGCAGAATATGGCTATATAAGTGAATATTGAATGCAAGTTGCGAATTTTCAAGCTAAAAAAGTGGCAAAGCAGGAATTCAGCAAGCGTGTGCATAGAAGCCACAATAAGGATTTGGAGTTAGAAAATTAAATGGAACACCAAATTCGTAATGGAAAAAGAAGAACCAGCTGTTTCCATGTTTCAATATCCAAAACTAACAAAAAAGGAAGAACAATTGCCAATGACAATAGCTTTTTTAAGGAAAAAGGGGACAGTACCACATTGATAGAAGTGAATCAAATGTAGGGAAAAATAACCTTAGGGAAATAGTAAATAAGCAAATCATCATGGCTCATGCAGGACACAGGTTTAGCTGCATACCGACACCACAGCAAATTAATTGATCGGTGTCAAACAACACATAAGGGAATGGAATGGTGTATTAACCTTTTCAACCACCAACGCTTCTACATTCTGAATAGAGGAGGAAGCAGCGCCAGCTAAAGGAGACTTGTTTAGCTCTCGAGGATCAATTTCAAATCTAGGGAGACCATTTGCACTCTGAAAATTCCCATCTAATATTGCTGAAGATAGATGAGAGCTCCCATCCCTGGAGATCTTCAAGTCCTCAGTGCTTTTCAGTACATTCATTTGATCAAGGAGCTTAGCTTCTATGCTATATGTCCCGTCTGGTTGCATTAACACTTTACTGCCTTCGACAACTGGTGAACCAGACTGTTCTTCAGTTGATGTGGAGGAAGAATGCCAATTGCCATCCATTGCATTCGAAGAATGTCCATCTGTCACATTACCTATTGAAGATGCATTTTTCACTAGGCCTAAGCTCTTCATGGGTTCATCATGCAACTTTGATTCTTTAAAGGGGCTGGACTGATGTTCAGTCCATGTTGATGACTTTGACTGCAAGGACTTTTCTGGAGAAAAAACCAACTTTTGAGCAATAGCAGTCACTTTCTCCTGCCCTAGATAATCAACCAATGGGGAATCAGTTCTAGAAATCAGCGATCTCTTCTGCCTGAGGTCATTTGGTGTAAAAGTGTCATTTGTCTTTCCTGACCAAGAAAACCTTGATGAAGCCAACTTTTGAGCAATAGCAGTCACTTTCTCCTGCCCTAGATAATCAACCAATGGGGAATCAGTTCTAGAAATCAGCGATCTCTTCTGCCTGAGGTCATTTGGTGTAAAAGTGTCATTTGTCTTTCCTGACCAAGAAAACCTTGATGAAGCCAAAGGGGCTGTAGGCTTCAACACTTGATCCACGGGGAGAAAACCAGTATTTAGCCGATTGAGAGATTTCCCCTGCTTTTCAGGGCCCAGAGATTGTTCACATGGAATTACATCTTCGCCAGTTAAAAGAGTCTCACTCCTACTACCACCTGAGGTGAACATTCTTCTTTCTCCCTCCTTCATAGAAGTACCTGAAAATTGCTCCTCTGTACAAGTCATAGAGGAATCCAGAGATTTGACTCCCATTTGTAGGTTCCTTTTCTTCAATATAGAATCCAAAGGAGGTGTTCTTGGAAACTCTAAGGATCTGATGTCCATATTGGGGATTCTGTCACCAAGGGGAGAAGATAGTTCAGAAGCCTTAAGTCTCTCAAGTTTGGAAATGTTCTTCTGGAGGGATGCTGAACTTGTCCAAGGTCCTCTCTTTTCATTGCTCAAAAAGGAAATGGGATCTTCAAGGAAAGACACTGCCATTGAATTCTGTTTGACAGGTGAAGGACTACCAGTAACTATTAGTCTTTGCGTAGCTGGTGAAGAGGACACTAAATCAACCAACGGAGATTCCCTGCCACGTGGGGACCAACAAAATTGACCAAGCTCACCATCATTACTACATAGGGCTTCACTAATTCCAACCTCAGAAGCATCCTTGACAGACTTATTATTTTCACCAACATCCTGCAATTGAAGCTACAAAAAAACATGAAATCAGGGCATTGGGAAAAAGCAAAGTAGCTTAAGCCTAACTTCCTGACCCAGTAAAAATATTTATCATAACTATTTCCCTGAAACAAATCATTCAGGGACATGGATAAAACATATCTGTTTCACAATTCAACGAGGAACTTAGCCCCAACGTGGCATGTACAGGATTTTAGAACAATACATCCCTAAACAAGACACCAACTACTTGCCATTCAACAAGGACTTTAGCCAAAATATGACGTGTACAGGACTGTAGAACAAAGCATCCTGATTCCTGAACAAGACACAAACTACCGATAGATAACGTTTATTGATTAAAGCCCCTTGGCAGAATTAAGCTAACAATACAGAAGCACAATGACCAGATATTATAAATGCATTTGAAGATACATGGCATTTACCATATGTAAATATAATTGACACAGAAATCGCTCTAACAATGCAATTAGAAAACGAGACGCAGGATCAAATGTACCTTTCAATCTAAAAGAATTGGCAATGGCAAGTAAAAGATCATATCTTATATTTGAAGTCACATCTTCTATCACCTACCTTATCATCAAATAAACTTAGCATGTAGAATCTCAGAGCAGGAAACACTAAGGACATGGACATAATGTCAAGTGGAAAATGATGGAAGTATTTACATAAATGTAAACAAAAGAACTGAGGTGTAGATAAGCCCAACGATGTAGTACCAAGATGGTGTAAATAGGAGAGCACAACAGGTCATGGGTATTGATTATGCATTTATGCAACGGAATTAACATACCATAACTCAGTTACTTACTTTACTTAGCTGCTTCGGCGACTGATTTACTCTATCAACATAATTATCCGGAGCTGGAACAGTGGATATGGGCAACGTGTCAGCATCAATTGCACGAGAAAGAAACTTATTACCATCATCTGCGTCGTCGATTTTCTGGCACAAAGGTACAAGTGGCATATTAAGACTAACAATTGCATTTGCTTCTTGTTCACCATTTCCACCTAAACCCATCAATGCACTTCCAACCTCCATTTTCTTGCTTGCTGGTGACTCTAAAACACTAGTATCTCCTGAAACAGAAACTGCATGTTTTTCTTGGCCTTCTGCTAAAAGAGCTTCTAAATCAGGAGGGAGTCTCCCATAATCATATCTTCTCGAGTTTTCTCCAATCAGACTCATGTCACTCGAATCACTAGTGCCACTAAAATTGGCAACAGGCATAGAAGATTGAGAAATTAGCTTCTTGGACATAGTGAGTTCCATGGAATTACCTAGACCGGTCTGTGTTGGTGTTTTCTCATCAAATGATACTTCTGTTGGGGTCTTCAAATCTATCCCTGAATCTGACCTAACAAATCTGCGGAAGTGCATGGAGAAAGCTGTTGAATCCATAGTAATATCATGATTTTCGTCTGACACTGCTGAATCTGATAGCCGGCCTGGCCTTATAAAATTGGGAGATACTGGGCCGAAAAAATTATCTTCTGCCAAAAAGAGAGGCCACATAGAATACTACTGTCACAAACTCTTAAGGGTTTAACATTCCTATCAAACCAACATAATTATGTCTAATGGAAGAGATCCCTGTAAACTGAAAACTTTAAACCATTAGAAAAAAGGATGGTTTGTTTTCCATTTGTGATTCAATGACAACAAAGACCACAAATTCCTTCCAGATAACAAATTTATTATCATGTCACATGCAGAAGCAGCTATCCTGATATGCGATATCATAGAAGGCCTTTCACAAAATGCGGCCTAAGTCAGGACATTAAAGGATACAAATACAACAACAACAACAACCCAGTATAATCCCACCAGTGGGGTCTGGGGAGGGTAGTATGTACGCAGACCTTACCCCTACTCTAAGATAGAAAGGTTGTCTCTGATAGACCCTCGGCATCCCTCCCTCCAAGAACTCCCCGCCTTGCTCTTGGCGTGACTCGAACTCACAACCTCTTTGGTTGGAAGTGGAAGGTGCTCACCACTAGAGCAACCCACCATTAAAGGATACAGATAACAACTAAAAATAAAAAGGAGCCAAAATCCTAATTATCTCTCAAAATAACAACAATTCAAGCCATAAAGACCATACATAACCTCTTCCTATCTCTAGTGTGAAGATAACATCTTCCTATCTCTAGCGTGAAGATGATCAATGCAAGGTAGGCGCATGTTGTAGCTGTACATTGTGCACCAAATGGAGTATCTACAAACAGGGGCAGATCCATGTGGATGGGTGGTGCCATGGCACCTGCAAGGCTGCAACTTGGGAAATACTACAGATAAGTATGTTGATATCTTTTGACACCTGGCTATGTAATTTAAGTTGCCACCCGCATTCAGAAAAGAGGAATAGGTCCAGAGGTTGGGAGTGACCTTAAATGTTACTTTGGCAAGGAGCACAATTTGAATTATTCAAGCTCCTATTTTTGTTTTTCAAGGCTTTCTCCTCTTATATTTTTTTTTTATAATCGTGGCGTCCCAGCAAGCATACGGACACCTTTATTAATTCCACGTGATACCTGCTACCTCCCACCAGCAATAGGTATCGGCAACTCTGTCCACTAAGGTTGGGACAAATGAAAAGAAATCACCTAGTGTTTTTGCCCATTTGAACCTGAGACCGCATGGTTCTTAACCCACTTCATTAACCAAAAGAATATTTCCTCCTCTTATATTTTCCTTTACCTCTTTTCTCTTTTATCATTTTGTTCCTTTTCTTATAATGTTCTATGTCCAGGCTTCCTACTTCTCTTTCTATTTGTTTTTTCATATTTCCCTTTATCCTCTCATATTCTACTTCCTATGACAGTAACCTTGGAGAAATAAACACACAGAAAAGGACCTAAAACACATGAAATCTCATAAACTGAAGCGCCAACTACTAACCAAATTAGAATTTCCATCTTTCAAGTTCGAAAAACTATTGACCTTTTGAAAACTCTAATTGATCAAACTAATGATCCATTTCTTTTGTTTATTAGATTCAAAATTTTGTGGTTTTGTTATGGTGTTCAAATCAATTTAGAATTTTTAGGCGCTTAAATCATGATGAGAATGTTGTATGCATCAGCAGATAATATGAATTTACTTAGATTTGTTTCTTAGGACTTTAGTTTGTAATAGTGTATTTTGTTTGAATTTAATCCTATTTCATTCCAGGGAATCATAAGCATTTTAAACTAACATCTGATCAGAATATGTTGTGGGCTTTGTGTTGCATTTTCAATCAATTATCTAATAAGACGAGCCAACTTGCGAGCACCTCAACTATTCCACCGGGTACCGGTCACTTCCCACCAGCACGGGTAATGCTTAAGCAGATGGGAAGAAGAAGAAATCACCTAGTGCTTTTGCCTCCGCTGGGATTTGAAAACTTTTGGTAGCTATGGATCAGAAAAGCTATTAAACCAATCCGAATTAACCCGAAATAGATAAAAGGAAACCAATTATACTCTCCTTCTCAGCTATAAATACAGATAAAATAAAATAAAAAAGAGGGAGAAAGAGAGCACTTGCCATCATCATTTGAAGTAGCAGAACCAAAATGGCTGCCAGGAGAAGGTGATTCTGCAGGTCTTAAAAACGATCTAGGCAAAGCCATCTCATCATCCTCATCCTCATCCTCATCCTCGTCATTTCCTTCGTCTCCGTCCTCGGACTCTTTGGAATCGTCGACCAATTGATCAAAACCTAGGTTTATTATCTCTTCACGTTCACTGTTACTTTCAGCTTTGCCTGAGGGATCCGGAGGGGTTTCGTACTCTTCATCACGGTCGAAGAAGTGTACAGAAGTCATCTCAGCAAAGCTCACTCTTCGTGCTCGCTTCTTCTGCATCGCCATGGTGGTGCCGCCCTCCGAATTCTCCGTATTGTTGTGGTTCTGATGGCGGTCCTCGCTGGTGCCACCGGCGGCGACGGTCGTCAGCGCTGCCGGGGAAGACATTTCAAAATTTTGAATTATTCGGAGATTTATTGCAGATTAGGGCTCGTTCTGCTCGCTGTACTACACTCAGTGGAGCCAAGTGAGTGAAATTTTTTGTGCGGGAAAGGCGAAATGTTTTTCGGTTTAAATAATTGGCAATTTTATATAACTTCTACATAATTTCCCTAAATGCTTTTGTTAGAAAAACCCAAACTAGTCCATTATCTTTGGACTTAAGTTTAAAATCATCCATGCTCTTTCACATGGTGCAGTAATAATCCATATTCTTCAAAAAATGACATACTTTTGGTCATCTCCCAAACTTTTTGTTACTTTTTAAGGTGAAGACTACACGCGGACTCCTGATCAGGAAGAAAGATGTTGATCTCAGATTACTATGGAAAGGATGCATTTCAGTGATTTCACATAGTCCATTTGGATATCAATTTTAAAGCAAGAGCCCGATTGAATTGTCTTAAAAAGGCTTTTCAGCAGAAATAACTTTTAAACTAAAAAGCAATAAGTAAGGATTGCTACTTAAAAAAAAGTTAGGATTGCCAAGTTTATTGCTTTGGCTTGTTTTAAGCCGTTTTTAACTTATTTAAAGTGCTTTTTAACTTTGTCAAATACCGAAAAAGTCAAAAAGAACTTAATTTGACCAGCTTAAAAGCCAATCCAAACCTTCACTGGTAGAAAGTATTGTCTTGTAATCGTATTTGATTGTAAACCAAAAGTAATTAGTTCCTGCACAAACAATCCTATTCAAGCCTGGCATAATCATACAAACAAACCCAATCCGCATGCCTACTACGTAGGCGTTTGGACATAAGATTTGAAAAATTAAAAAATAGGGGAAAATTTTTTTTCAAGTGAAAATGGTATTTGAAATTTAGAATTGTGTTTGGATATAAATATAATTTTGGGTTGTTTTCGAAGTTTTCTGAGTGAAAACTTTGAAAAACAACTTTTTAGAATTTTGCAAATTTCCGAAAATTTCTCAAATGCATCTTCAATTGAAAATTGAAAATTTTACGAACAAACGTTGATTTCAAAAAAAAAAATGAAATTTTTTGGAAAAAAGGGAAAAATTTCTTATGTCTAAACAGGCTCTAAGTATTGAAACTCCAAAAAGCAGGAAAAAATGAATAAACTAGAGATGAAATCAAATTGACTTAAACAAGAATGGAGAAGAAGAGTATCAGATGAGAGGCCCCTCTCTCCGTTAAAAAAGTACCAGTTTGGTGATAGACTGAAAGTGTGTACCCTTTTTCCAAAAAATGTGGACTATTACTGCACCATGTGGAAGATCATGGATGATTTTCAGCATAAGTCTAAAGATAGTAGACTACTTTGAGCTTTTTCTCTAAAAAAATTTGCAGAAAATCTTCTTCTACTTTTTGAACCAAATGCCACCACATATCTCATATTAAGACCAACCGATGTATAGAAGGACTTGTTTTCACTAGATAAGCAACACATGACATGCAGAAAAAAATTGAGAATGGTCAATCAATAGATCTCGGAATTAGAAGCTTTACATTTTGTTTCTCAGGCAGACAACTTAGTAAGCATACTCGTTCAAACCATAAAAGAAAGTGAATACTGTCAAGTAAGTCATCTGCCTCTCGGAATAATTGGGTCTCTCCGGGTTGAAACAACAGACGCAATTGTGCTTTCCCACAGGTCTGCTAGGAGCATACTGAAACTAAATAACACTCCATGTAAAGATGAATCAGCGTTAATGCTTAGCTCCTGATTGTGGCAAGATTCACCCATATAATGCACGCCAAGGCTCTTGAGTTTCTCTTGAAGATTTGGTTGCATCCCATGCTATCTTTTCTGCTGAGAAATTAAGAGATGAGAAGCTAGCCAAATGCTGTCCTATCTCATGTATCACCTGGAAGTTAGAAAATGAGATACAACGTATTAGTATATTTTATTTTATTTTTCACCCTTTTTTTGGATAAATACGCTGAGAGGATGATTGGGGTTGGGGGGTAACTGCTAGTTCTATCAAGGATATCGAGCCCGTCCACTGATATGCAGAAATGGTAAGAGAGGATCCCCAGGTATGTCATTCTTGTCAGGGAACTTCAGATGATAATAGCATAATATTCAAGTCGATAGCTCTATCAATCAAATCCCTTGAACCATGATGTTGGTTTGCTTAAGACACCTTCAGAGCAATTACCAATTTTTAAAATGTATAGTTGCATCCACAAGTCAGCCAATTTTCAGATGTTCATTCCTTAATGATTTTTTTCTGTTACTTGTCAGAGTAAAGGGGAATAATGGTGCTAATATCACTCTAAATGACTTAAAAAGCTGATGTATATTTAACAAAAAAGAATGTATGGCTTTAACTATCTTGATCTACTTGAACTCAAGCAACCAAGAACTGGTTTTTTTTGCCACTCAGGTTTGAATTTTGCAGCTGCATTAACTTACTGGATGGCATACATAAGCCACTCAGCTCGGCCAGCTGCAATAGGATATATCAAGGATAACTGCAAGAGAGCTAAATCATTCTATTTGAAGTGCAGTGTTTTAACTTATTTTCAGCAGTACATTACCTAATCAAGTTATTTTTTCAGTTTCGTCATAGAAAAGGAAACAATAATGTTAATTTTATAAAGACTAAAATTTAATTATTTTTAACCATAGAAAATATATGGCTTTATCTATCTTCGTCTACTTGAACTCAAGCAACCAAGAGCTGGTTTTGCCATTCCAGTTTGATTTTGCAGCTGTATTAACTTACTGCCTGGCATACATAAGCCACTCAGCTCGGCCAGCTGCAACAGGATATATATAACTGCACCATAGCTAAATCCCATAACTAATTTATTCTAGTAAAAGTGCTTTTCTTCCAGCAGTCCATTCCCTAATCAAGTTGTTTTTTGTTTCACAGAAAAGGCGAACAATAATGTTATCAGACGTTTAAAAGTTGATTATATTCAATCAAAGACAATGTAAGGCTTTGTCTATCTTGATCTGTTTGAACTTAAGCAACCAAGAGCTGGTTTTCTTGCCACTCAGATTTCATTTTTGCAGCTGTAATAACTTACTGCTTGGCAATACATAAGCCATTCAGTTCGGCCAGCTGCTATAGGATATAACAATAGAAACAACACTGAAGCTAAATTCACTCTATTTGAAGTGCTTTCTCCTCTCCCCTACCCCCTTCATTTACAGACATGCAAAAACACAATTTTTCAGGATTAAATTGTTCAAAAGATTAGATCTTAAAATTAACATAAGAAACTAAGAAGCCCAGAACACAGTCCTGTTTCGTTTCGTTACTTCTGCATGATGTCAACAACCTAGATAACACAGGGAAGCAGCTCTCATGTTCAAAGCATGAAAATCATCCATTGCCCATTGGATGAACAGTCATATGACATTTATAACGTACCTCGAGTTCCTCTTCTGAAGTCTTACGATGCAACTTTCGACCTTTTCTGCCAATTATAACTAAAGTAGGCAAGTTCAAGACTCGAACCAACTGAAGTAAGCAGGCCAACTGTTCGTGGAAAATCTGCAACGACGGGGGTGGACTTCGCAAATTCGTGACCAAAGCTTTAGTAAGGCCACTGGAGGCACCTACTTGCAAACCATAAACTGAGATGTTGTCAACGCCAAGGGAAGTTCTATTTTCCATCTTAAGCTTAGTGTCAGCCACAAGAAAAGGGGCTACAATTGTCGGCATATTTGATGACCCATCTCCTACTAACATTGACAGAACCTCATTGAGAGCACAAGCAAGTGTTGGAGGCTCGTAATTTTCCAAAAGCAACACAGACACCTAAGAAAAAGAAGTAAACAAATTTCAAACCGTGATCTATAATCCCCAAAAGCAAAATGCCTAACCAATTCCGATATTTTTCAATGAAATTATTTTATATACTTTCTAACGAAACAGACAAATGACTTCCTTCAATTATAAATCCCAACTCTCACTTTACATCACTTGTTTGAACCTACAAATTTCGGAAATGATGTAAAAATAACTCAAGTGAGGTGTCCAGACCAGCTTGCGCGTACACATGTACCGGGTAACTCCACACTATCACTTAAACCATATCCTTATACATTGTCACATTCACCTTGTACAATAACTATTTTTACACATACAACCAAGGACTGAAAAATTATCCAAAATACTGCAAATATACAGGAAATGAAAAACATTTTCAACGAATACAGTTTCCTCTATACAAGACGCACCCAAAAGGAAAAAAGTACCTGATTTGAGCCATCGAGAAAATGAACGATCTCGACAGAAACCTTTTGATCTTTGATTCCATAACGTTCTAAGGATAAATCAAGCGATTCTTGTCTGCAATGAAATCCATTGTATGAAAATATATTCAATTAAAGGTTAGAGGGAGCCCCGGGGGGTGGGGGTTGGTTCTTACCTCTTTTGAAAGTTGGAGTTAGGGTTAGGTTGAAGAGCTTCGAAGATGGCGGTGCCGAAGCCGCTAGAGTCTCGGAACAGTAGTATTACTTTAGGGGCGACCTTCATTTCTGCAATGCAATGCCCTAGTTCTACCACTGACGCGCTATTGGAGAAAACTTTATTGTATGTGATTTTTATGTAAACTTTTGTATTCTTTGGTCAAAAGCATCCCTTAACTATACCTCAAACTTAAATTACATCCCTGTATTACCATAGTGACTAAAAAAATACCCTCAACTATCACAATAATAGCAAGAATCATCCTTACTGTTACAACTTGTTTGGATGGTTGTTACGTATCGTTTAATAATGTATCATATCGTATTGTATTGTATTGTACTGTATCGTTTGATGAATACAATGTTTGGATGGATTGTGTCGTTTTGGCATCGTTTCATGGTATCACGCACCTGTGATATGATGAATTAACTTGCAATATTATAAAGAAAAATTATGATACGGTATATAAAAAGATAGGGTAAACGATAAAATAAAATTATTTAATAATAATGAAGGGTGAGATTGAGAGAAAAACATGAGGAAACGACGCGACCACACCAAATCGGTCGTTACATAAAGTGGCACATTTCATCGTTACGTAGCGACGGATTTAACAATACGATACAATAAAATTTAAGTAACAATCAAAACAAACATTGTATTTAAAGTAACAATACGATACGATATGATAGGTAACAACCATCCAAACAAGCTGTTAGTTTCCGTCAAGAAACTACGGCTTCAATGAACCAAAAACTTATGAAGGTTATGCAAATTACTTAGAAGTTTGGATAGTTGATAAGCTTGAAGTGCTGAAAAGTTTTTTAAAACTTATTTTTTCAATAAGGATTTACATGTTTGGATAGAAGTGATGAAACTAATAATAAGTTGTTGATTTATTTCGTAAAAAAAGTCAATAAAATATTCTTTTATAAAATAATTAAAATACCCTTAAAATTTAATAAAAGATTATACATTAAAAAGTTTTTTGTGAAGAAAATGATGAACAACGAGAATATGGAACAAAGAGAAAGTTACGAAATTAGTTTTGAAAAAAGTATTTTGTGAATTAAAAAAATATTATTAAAGATAAACTAGTAAAAACTTTGATCGAACTGAAGTGCTTATAAGCTGAAAAATCATAAGTTGAGGGTGACCAACTTATGACTTATGGTTGAATTTAGCTTATAAGTATTTTTGGTATTTATCAAATGCCTAGAAGAGCCAAAAGGTTGACAAGCTTACAATTTATTTAAGTGTTTCGGGAGGTCATGAATAGCCTCCGTATTTACGACATCGTTTTCCTTCTTTATTTTTGTGTGTTTATATCAAGTCCAAATTACCCTTGAGGAAATAAATACAGTTTCTGAGCTAATTTATTCAGTAATACTTATATCAAGTTATAAACAATTTTAGGATCCTACAGGAGAAGCCAAACCACAATATATAGTGGAACTGCTTTTACTGTGTTTTCTACACCAGAAAGAGAAGCTAATACAAAAAAGAAGCTTACTCAATACCCAAAATGTACACAATTAAAGCTGATTACTACATGCTTAACTACACAAATTACATGGACCTGCGATGAGGATAATCTACTTATAGTCACACAATACTATCACCACCTCGACTGCTTTCCTCATTTTCTTCCCTCTCGTCTTTATTTCTCCTGTCCCCCTTTACGCGTTGGCGCCTGTTGCTATTTCCAGCTTTTGAGCTTCCACCATCATTATCAGCCACAAGACCGATCTGGATTGCTTCCAAATACAACACCTTCACCAAATTCTTGAAGCGTCTTCTGAATGTTGGTACCCGGGATAATGAACCAACAATGCCCTGCAACCTATTGATTCGTAAAACATAGTTCAACTCGCGCTCTAGATTTCAAGAGAATAATAGAATTGTTAAAAAAAATCCAATCAAGAGAACAGTGCGAGCGATTCTCGCATGAGGACGGTCTGAGTAATTGTAAAATATTTGGTTGACTTTGAAAAAAGAAAAGATCAAAAGGAGCAGCCCGATGCACTAAGCTCCCGCTATGCGCGAGGTCTGGGGAAGGGCCGGACCATAAAGGTCTATTGTACGCAGCCTTATCCTGCATTTCTGAAGAGGCTATTTCCACGGCTCAAGCCCCTGACCTCCCGGCCAGTTACGCCAAAACTCCCTTTCGAGAAAAGAAAAGATTATTAGGAAGTTAAATGGGTTAGTTTGTATATGTTATATATGCGAACAGAAACTATGGACTCTGGCTGCAATGCACCTTGGAAGAGATGGCGCAAAAATAATAATATTATGATTGCAAAAAAAACAAGTTCGTAAAGCGTTTCATAAATGTAGACTTACCTCCTAATTACAGCTTGCAATTGTGCTCTCCTCACAGTATCAGTGGATGGAAATCCAGTGTTATCCCATTCCTCCGGTCTTTCATTTTTGCACCCCATTACCAACGTCCTCAGGCTAATTTCTTCATCTTCTCGCAATTGTAGTTTCTTTATTTGCTCCTTCATGACTAAGAGCGGTCCAAGAAACCACTCGAAAACTTTATCCTTTGGCCAGTTAGACTTTGTCAATTCCACCTCATCAGCTGTATATAGCATAAAAGACATAATTTCTTCCTTAAAAGTAATGCATAAGTGAAAGAGGAGGAAGATAAAAGGCAAGTCCGGGAAAAGACGTACATATTAGCAGGCCTGGCGAGTCGGATTTTGCAGATATAAGCAGACACTGTAGAATCGACCAAGCAGGTAATTTGATGCCTAGCTTCTTACAGTCCCCCTTGACGATACATTCCTCAATATCTTTGACATCTATCAAGCCTTCACGTAGGAGTATTCTGCCGTTAACCTCACAGGATTTAAAGAGCCAACCCCATACCTACCACAGACTTATCATTTAGGTTCAAGAAAATGAAAAAAATTAAGTCGCGACTGATTTTTACATATGGCTTTTTATACCTGCATCGGCGTATATTGTTGGATTGTCTGTTTCAGGGTTTTTGATCCATGCGAAATAAGATTCAAGCTGCGTGATCCTTCTTTTTCAATCTTCTGCTCAATTGAGTTCTTACTCTCAAGGCCTCCAGATGAGCTCATATTTCTTCGATATTGAGGCCTGGCTGCCGGAAAGAATCAGACAATCAACATCATTGGTGGCATCAGTAAGTTACTCCCTCCATTCCACTTTATGCGGCACGATTCGGAGTACGAGGTCAAAGTTCTTAATTTTGACCGTGATATTAGACAGATTCTTCAAGTTTTTAAAATAAAATTTACATATTTAGAAACTACATAAAAAGTATTATAAGTATGGTAATTTATAATTCAAAATATTTATAAAATATTTAAGAAAAATATGGTCAAAGAACAACCTCGTAGGCTCCCCAAATAGTAATGTTGCCACATAAATTGAACCAGAGGGAATATTTTATATCATGGATTAATGGGTTGGTTTCTTCAGACCATAACATAATGAACCAAAAGTGATCGGCAGTAGTATACAGGCAATACCTCGTGAAGCATGACCCTTCCCTCATGTCAAGTAGGTCGTTTGTGTACTCATCAAATATGGAAATGGCTGCTAAGATGTATGCAAGTCCCATGCGAAATGAGTCTTCCTAGCAAAACCGTGTCACTTCAGTAAGAATCAAACAACGTGCTAAACTAGTGCCTCTCAAACTTGCGAAGCCGGCACATACAATAATCTGTTAAAATGGAAGAAACAGAAGGGGGAGAGGAAACAGACCTGATGGACCACGACCCCGCTGTAAAGCGCAAGAGCAAAACTTGAAAAGAAAGATGCCAACACAGATCCAGCAACAGCTAAAGGCCACAAAATGATTGCAAGACCAGCAAAAGGAACACAAACCGTCTCCAGAAATGGGCCTTCCCTTCCAATTAAGTCCTCTAGTAGCCTCTTCCAACCCCTAAACAGCATGAACGGGCTCTTCCAAAGAGCAAGAGCTGTAATAAAGGGCACATCCACTGGAATTGCAAGTAGAGAAACCAAAACGCAACTCGGCAGCTTTGACAACCTATGACACAACACAAAAAAGAAAATATTGTACACTGTGAATTCACAGTCTCTGGACAATGCTATGGAAAAGAGAATTCGGATATCACTCACTTCACTTCCATTGGTTTCTCGTCTGGATCCATTTCCTCAGAAAGCTCGTCCATGTAAGAAAAGTATGAGTGGAAGCAAAAGTCTGTAAAATCCCGTACTACTGTGCAGCTCCCTTTAAGAGTGGACATACAACCATCCTGATAATTATATCAACTATAATCTTCGGCAGTAAAATACACGATTCTAGTTGAACGAACAAAAGGAACTTGCAGAAACATTCACAGTGTAAATACAACCATCCTAACAATTTTATCAACTATAGTCATTGGCATGTAAAATTCACAATTACATCATAACAAACAGAAGGAACGAGCAGGAATGTTCATAGTAAAACTACCATACTCTCTGGCTTATAAATTACACACACACACACACACACAATGTACATATATGTTCTTTTTAATCAGTAGATTTCGTGCACATATTATTCTATTGAAGAGCTAGAAATGTTTGAATCTTTTAACATGAGCACTCTAACACCGAAACCAGCAAACGAAAGCTCGAAAATGAAATTACAGTAGCACCCCAACTACAAGGATCGATGTCTTCTCCGACAATGGGAGATAAATTTCATCTACTTAATATTAGTTAATACTATCAGACAAACAGAAAACAGAGTTTGAGTGAATGCTGAGACTCACCGCAAAGCAGTGGAAGATCTTCAATGTGATATTTTCTCCAATAGCCTCAAAAGTTGCAATCAATGGAGCGAAAAAACCGTACCCTATCCCACCTAGAAGACTCCCAATAATGGCTATTATGGGCCAAAGAATCAGAGGAACTGGCAAAGAAACCAATAGTGCAATCTTCAAAACCCATCCAAGCTTTTTCGTTCTGAAATGTGAAAACAAATAGCACAAAAGAAACAACAGAATACTATGTCAGATACATACACAATATGTTGCATTCTAAAGGGCAACACGGTGCACAAGCATCCCACATTCACACAGGGTCGGGGAAGAGCCGCACCCAAGAGGGAGTGATGTAGGCAGCCTA